GCAGCGTCACCCCGTCTGCAAAGTTCTTTACCACGGCGGATGCACTACATGGGTACTGGCAAGTCGACCTGGCGGAAGAAGATCGCCACCTCACTACATTCATCACGCCCCACGGCCGCTTCCAACACTGCCGCGGACCCATGGGCTTCGCAGCAACGGGGGATGCGTACTGCCTCCGTGGGGATATGGCTCTGCAGGGTGTCACCAACTGCGTGAAGGTCGTAGATGACATCCTGCTCTTCGACGATGATCTCCCGGCCCACTTGAACCGAGTTCATCTGATGCTCACAAGATGTCGTGCCCATGGTATCACCCTGAACAAAGATAAATTTGTGGTCGCCGCCTCCCAAGTTAACTACTGCGGCTACAACATCTCGCCAGAGGGGATCTCAGCTGATGAGGAGAAGGTCAAGGCCATCAGGGACTTCCCTACTCCAGCGAACCTGACCGACCTTCGCTCGTTTATGGGCCTGGTAAATCAGCTGGCCGACTTCTCCCCTAAAATCGCCACATCAGCCCAACCTCTACGCCCCCTCATGAGCCCCAAGCGCTCTTTCCTCTGGACTCCTGACCACGACCTAGCGTTCAGGAATGTTAAGAAGGCGTTGCTGTCACCACCAGTCTTGGCACCCTTCGACCCGTCCTTACCAGTGGTCCTCCAGACCGACGCCTCCTGTCTATACGGCCTCGGATATGCCCTCCTTCAAGACCACGGCCAGGGTAGACTGCGCTTAGTTCAGTGTGGCTCCAGGTTTCTGACCGACACGGAGACCAGATACGCCACCATCGAACTAGAGATGCTGGCAGTCGCCTGGGCTATGGCCAAGTGCCGCCTTTACCTGTTCGGCCTTGGGCATTTCACCCTCATGACGGACCATCGCCCGCTCATACCCATCCTCAATCACTACACGTTGGACGCCATCGAAAATCCTCGCCTCCAACGTCTCAAAGAGAAGACCGCCCCTTACGTCTTTACAGCTGTGTGGCGCGCCGGGAAGCTTCTGTGCATACCAGACGCCCTCTCCCGAGCCCCTGTTAGTCGCCCCACACCTGAAGATGAAGTCGACTGTACCACGGCCGCGGCTCACGTTCGGTCTTTAGTGACACACACAGCCACTTCTCTTGCTGACAAGACGACGACGACGCCCTCCATCGAAGACGATAGGACTCTCCAGGAGCTTCGCATCGCTGCCGCTCAAGACCCGGCATACGTCCAACTCCTCGACTACGTCTCCGCTGGATTCCCCACCAACCGCTACGACATTCACGCCTCCGCCCTCCCCTTCTGGAAGCTAAGGGATAGCCTCTATGCGGACGGAGAGCTGGTGTTGTACGGCCCCAGGATCGTCGTTCCCGCTGCCCTCCGCCGGCGCACCTTATCCCGCCTCCATGACAGCCACCGCGGCGTTGAAGCCACCAGGCGCAGAGCCCGTCAGACCGTCTTCTGGCCTGGTATTGACGCCGATATTAAGAGCACGGTTGAGGCCTGTGAGCCTTGCCAGCAACTCCAGCCCAGCCAGCAACAAGAGCCGTACCTGTGCAATGACCTCCCGAAGCGGCCCTTTGAGTCTGTGTCCGCCGACTTCTTTCATGTGGCCGGAAAGTCTTTCCTGGTGGTCGCCGACAGGCTCTCTGGATGGCCCGTGGTAGTTCCCTGTGGTCGGGACACCGCCTCTTCCAGGGTCATCCGGATGTTTTGTTGCTTCTTCCGGGAAGTCGGAGTGCCTCTCCGCCTCCGAACCGACGGTGGGCCCCCGTTCAATAGCCACGAGTTCAAGAGCTTCGCCGAACGCTGGGGCGTCCACCACATCGTCACCTCCCCTCATTACCCGCAGGCGAATGGCCACGCCGAGGCAGCGGTAAAGTCCGTAAAATACCTCATCCTCAAGACAGCACCGACGGGGAACCTGGACTGCGAGGAGTTCGACAGGGGCCTACTAGAACTCCGTAACACCCCTACCCCTGCCGGACGCTCTCCTGCCCAGGTGTTGTATGGCCGCCCCCTTCGTACTTGTGTGCCTGCCCACCCCCAGTCCTTCTCAGATGAATGGCAGATCAAGGCGGACGAGTGTGACCGCCGTGAGGCTGCCCGGATGGCCCAAGTGACAAGCCACTATGACGCCCACGCCCGCCCCCTTCCCAGGTTGACCGTCGGCCAGCAAGTACGAATCCAGGACCCGACGTCACACCGCTGGGACAAGGTCGGGGTCGTCATGGGCCGTGGCGAGTCCCGTTCGTACCAAGTCCGCCTCCCCAGTGGTCGTGTGTGGTGGCGAAACAGACGCCATCTCCGCCCAGTGCCATCCTCTAGTGACGAACCTTCCTCCCCGTCCCCTGTGCCCCCTTGCCCAGACCAGGAACGAAGGTCGTCAGTTGATCCTCCCATTGTCCCTCGCCGCTCCCCCCGACTCATGGAAAAAGAGTCCGTAGCCGCTCGAGATTGCACTACGAGCGTAAAGGGGGAGGGAGGTGTATAGATATGTAAATACCAAGATATGTGAACACGCCTGACGGCAGGACTCTGTTACCATTCATTGTACCATTTATTCACATGTCTGTATTACTACATATTATTATAGCATGTCTGATATCTATGCTTATGTCTAATGCCTATGTTCACTTACCATGTACCGATGTACTATGTCTGTACCGCACTAGTCGAGTAACTAGAAGACCTTATTTATTGTCCTAGTAATATCTAGCAACTCTCCTTGCCTAGCTAGCTAACGTCCCTCAGATCGGCTTCGGCCTGCCTACGGCACGGAGTCCTTTTTGCTTGTCCCTGTTTTTCTGTACCTGTTGGTTATCCTGCCAAGTCTTGTACTACTTATTGAATATATCTACTGCTCGTGCCCTGGAGTTTCAAGAACCTTGTCTAGGATTGCATCCCACCACATTGATGACCTTAGAAAAAATCTGTAGCATTAACTTTGTCTTTTAATATGTTCTTAGCTAAATGTCTTTAGTTAAGGTAAAATCTCGGTGTTATTTCTTGACGTTATTTCTTACATCTTAAACCAACCCTTTAGGTACATGATTATTTTTTTCATTAACGAGGAATATTTTCATCATAACACCGTATTAATAAGCGTGAGGCAATATGTACCAAGAGGATTCATTAACGCTTCACGCTCCTGGCACCCTGTTGTACCCAAGCCATGATACGTTCTTCACGCTAATGGTAGGAAAAATTAAACCCTTTGAGTGTATTACCTTTACGTAAATGAATTCTTCGAGTTCTTCATTACCTCCTCTAACACGTGACTCTAATAACACGTGTATGTCTCTTGAGTTATTAAATGTCTTGTTATTTATGTCTGTGATGAGTTGATGCCACTTTTCTTGGGTACTTTTACTCATCATGTCTACCTGTACTTTTTTCCTAGGTATTATTATTTTTTCCATTTCCCACATTACTTTTTTAATATATCTCGTTACTTTTTTCATTGTTCCCATTACTTTCTATCATCTTCCGTCACTTTTCTGAGCTAACTGCAATTTTCTTCATTTCTCCAGTGTCTCTCTCTTCATCGGAGCTTCCTTATGTCACTTTTCATTATAACTCACTGACGTCACTTTATATCAGAACGCAATAGAAGCTACCCAGATTGACCCGTGTACAGAGGAAAGAGTATTGACCACACACACACACACACACACACACACACAATATTCCTCCATCTATTGTGTGGTGACTAAGTTTCCCTCATTGTCAGGCAGGGGCCATTAACTATGTCCCCAGCATGTGTTAAGTAGCAAGGTGGTGGTAATGGTGGGGGAAGTGATGGTGGTCATAGTGGTGCAGGTAGTGGTAGTAATGATAGTGGTGATAGTGGTTGTGATAATGGTGGTGTTGGTGGTGGTGGTGGTGGTAATAGTGGTGGTGTTGGTGGCGGTAATGGTGGTGGTAATAGTGGTGTTGGTGGTGTTAGTGGTAATTGCGATGTTTGTGGTGGTAATAGTGGTGGTGGAGGTGGTAGTAATGGTAGTTGAGCACTCGTCAAGACCTAATAAAACGCGGAGAATAACGTCCGTAGAATTATCGGTGACGCTATCGCATTTTAACAGCTGGTTTGTTGTTTATCAAGTTTCCTCTTATTCCTTTTCTACTTTTTATATTTCATCCTTCTTTTTTGCCTTTTTTACCAATTTCTTTTAGTTCATTTTTCTGTTTTTTTTTTAAAGATTCAATGGATCGCCTTTTCTTCTATTTCGGATTTTGAAGACCAAACTAAACAAAATCAAGTCCATTAAAAATTTTTGTAAATTTAATCATTTATTTTTTTTTTTTTGTAATCTGTTCTTCGCATTCATCAGATATTAAATATAAAATCGTCATTCACTATACCAGTGGTTCTCAACCTTGTTTGCCCCATGCACCCCTTTCACCATATGTCAGAATGTCATTCCCCCCTCCTTTCCAAGATTGTCTGCCTCAAAGAGTGCATTCCAAATAATATGCATATAATACTGAAAATCCTTTATTTTTTTCCATATTAGTACAAATACATTTACAATTTTACATGGATTATTTTTATAGTGGAGTTTTACAAATTAAATGCCAATTGAAAATGTTGATGGATTTATAAAACTTGAATAGAAGTAAAATAGTTTTTTTATATTTATAATGAATTACTTAACAGACCAAACTGAAGCATAATGCAATAAACAAAAAGTTCAATAGAATACCAGGATATTGTAAATTTGTAATTAATCTTATTCAGATGAAGATTACAGTCAATGAGAAACCTGTGATTGTTTTTTCTTCGCCAATTCTGGGATATGCGGAGGAGTGCTTGAAAGGGCACAACGCAGGTCATTTTCTACCTCTAATCTACTACGTTGCTTCGTTTTAATTTGCAACAGAGTTGAAAAGCCTGACTCACAAAGATATGTCGACACAAACGGAAGCAATGCACGGATAGCTCTTTCTGCCACTTTTGGGTAGGAATCGCACATCAAGGGCCAAAATTCTGTGATTGATTTCTCATCGAACATACCTCTTGCTCCCGAATCAGTTTTCAGCTCCAGAAATTCATCTTGACAATCATCAGGAACTTTTTCAACTGACAATTTGAATGGATTTCGCACTAAATGCAACTCATCATCACTGAGTTCAGGAAAATATCGGCTGAATTCATTTTCCAGTGTATCAAATGCTGTAAAATTTCATTTTTTGCAAATTGTGGAAGCACCTTGTCTTCACCACCAACAACAAGAACGGATGACATTTTCTCAAACATTGCAACATTTTTTATATTAACCTTTCTCTTCCAATTTTTCAGCTTGCTCATGAAAGCTTTCAAGGCATCCATGAATTTTATGATGTTTGTATTCCTTCCTTGCATCTGAAGATTCAGTTTATCCAGCTGCTCAAAAATATCAACCAAATAGGCAAGGCGCATGAGCCATTCCTCATCATCCAGCCAGGCAAAAAATTCCATCTTACCCTGAACTTCAAAAAATAATTTGAGCTCATCTCTAAGCTCAAATATTCGCTCAGTTACATTTCCTCTTGACAGCCATCGAACATTTGTGTGGAAAAGAAGCAAATAATGGGCTGCATCCATGTCGGTACATAACTGCTTGAAAAGTCGTGAGTTGAGAGCTCCTCCTTTGACAAAATTCACAATTTGAATTGTTTGATCCAAAACCTTCCCTAGCGGAGCTGGAAGTGTTTTTGAGGCCAGTGCCTGACGATGGATCATATAATGAATGCCTTTCACTTTTGGAGCTCGCTTTTTCACACAAACTTGAAATCCTGATTTTGTCCCCAACATAGCTGGTGCTCCATCTGTACAGCACCTACAGATATTATCCCACAAAAGATTTTCTGATTCAAAGAAAGATGAAACCTTTTCCAAAATATACGAGGCCTTGGTAGTTGTTTCAAGAGAAGAACAAAAGAGAAACTCCTCTTTAAATGAACCTGAGTGAACATACCTTGCTAACACCATCAACTGGGAACACGATGCCACATCAGTCGATTCATCAAGTTGAATTGAAAATAAGCCAAATGCTGAAGACTTGATCTCCTGCACAACTTGATCCTTGATGTCAATGGCCATATCGCTGATCCTCCTTTGGATAGTACTGTTTGATAGTGGAACCGCTGCAAGTTTTTTCTCCAATCAATTTCCCAACACAATTTCCACCATCTTGAGAGAGCAAGGTTTGATCAAATTTTCCCCAATTGTATGTGGTTTTTTCTGCTTTGCTATCTCCAGTGCTACGACATAAGAAGCTTCAGTAACCTTTTGGTTTGTTTCTTTGAATGCCCCTGTTGAATCCAGCTTCATCTTTTTGAGAGCATTCCCATGACGTTCAAAAAAGTTTTGGTCCTTGTCCTTGTGTTGAGGATGAACATTCTGCAAATGTCGCCTCAACTTTGTTGGTTTCATAGAATCATTTGTCAAAGCTTTACTACAAATAACACATTGAGGCCTTTCTTCTCCATTGATGATGATGGATGTGAATCCATATTCAATATATGAATGATCGTACCCTCTTTTTTTGACACTCATGATGGGCTCCAAATTCTGTAAATAAAAACAAGAAAAAGTCAAAACTATAAATGGATATTTTCACAGATAAAAAAGTGAAATATTTGTCTTTATTTTTTATTTAATCAGCAACATGGCTGGCATTAAGAAGTAAATAATGCCAGTGACGCACAAAAAGAATATGTGTAAAATACACAAATATGGAGATTATGGTCCATGTTAACACCACAAAAACTAGAGAAGCACAGTCACCAATGTGAGTGCGAAACCACCAAAATAGTCACAAAAAGTGGCAAAAAACACAGGAGCTAACGGAGAGAAAACCCGGCGTGACCTCTCAGTAGCGCGGATCATTGAAGACTGCTCAGAACTGCAAGCAGGGGTGCAGCGGCGTCGCTTCATCGAGAAGATGTTGCCAGTTGCTGGCCTCCTGGTTGAATGAATGCTCACAGCGTGGAGCTTGCTGGAGGAGGTGTTGCTTGTTCAGGAAGATGGGCAGAATGAGAGCTGGTTGGTGAGGACAGCTGGTGGGTCGCCATGCTCGCTGGCGGGAGCGAGGACCGCCAGGCAGGCAAGGAGAAGCGAGGGGCCGCCAGGCAGCGGCGGAGGAGGAGGTGTTGCTTGTTGTAGAAGTGAGGCCGGAATCAATCTCAATGGAGAGACAGAGCTTATATACCTAGCAGACGTGAGTCACCTATGAGTCACGTTGGGAAAACCCGAGAAGTAACCGGTCTTTGGCTCGGTTGCTAGGATACGGCGGCGCATCTGGTGACGCCGCTCGTTTGGTTGCTAAGGAAAGCGTCGCAGGTGGGATGCAGCTATGCAGTTTGTAGGGGAGACGTCCACTACAGGGTGTAGGGGGTGGGGGTACTAGTGACAGGAGGCTAGGTCTAGGACTCTAAGCAAAGCGTAAGCTTTCGTAAGGGTACTTGCAGACGGACCACTCGGTGGCGCCTATATCTTTCCTTTGTGGCAGCCCTGTCTATGGGTAATCTATTTTGATCCTTACGGTTCAGGAGCTTGTGGTGAACGGTTTGATAGGCTGCTTGCAGCAGGTAACCGATGCATACTGAATTTTGTGCCGCCCTAGGGAGCTCAAAGGCAATAAAAAGATCAACATTCTAACAATTTGAGTTTGCTAATCTGTGGTCCCAATTCCCCCCCTTGAAAACCTGAAATCCCCCCCTGGGGGGAAATCCCCCCTGGTTGAGAACCCCTGCACTATACATTACACTTCAGGTTTAGCGTCTACTAGTGAGGAAGGAAATCAATTCCTTGGCAAACATCTAATTCCAAGAAAAACGACTGCAGCCTTGTCCGTGTGTGTGTGTGTGTGTGTGTGTGTGTGTGTGTGTAATCGATCCCTGTGTATCTTGCTGTAGTCTGGTACCTGTGGACATAATGAGTTACCTAGTCTGTTTTTTTCGTGTAATCCGGAATGTAATCTAAACTTAAGTGAACCTGCATTTCGTCTAATCTAAGTGTATTTCATTGTAGTTACCTTCTGGGTGTCGGTAATCCTGTGTGTCGTGTGAATTAATGGGCGGCGTAACCTGGGTGTAGCGACCTCCTGGGTGTAGAGCCAACCTTGTCAAATGTGGCCATAATGCCTGAGGCGGAGTCGTACTGTATGTTTGTTGCTTACCCGCTGAGTCACTCCTCGACCCCCAGCGTGATAAAAGGCTCCAGGGAGATTTATTTGTTATGTATGGAAACAACGTAGATTTTGTGATAATTTCTGACAGTAGAAAAAATTAAGTGATTCAGTGTGAGAAGAAATGAAGCAAAATGATGAATATTTTTTTTTTTTTAGATTAATTACATTCAATGTTGTTATTACCGGTCATATAAAGACTAAGATAGACTATATAATAATAATACAGGTAGATTTTTTTACATTTGAAACTAATTAAGGTAAATAAATTATTTGCTTCCGTGTATTCCTAAGCTTTATTAACAAACCTCTTTATTCACGTACTCAAGATAGGTCCAAACAAGAGATAATAACTATACAAAAATTATGGAAGGGTAGGTTCAAGATTGTTGAAAGGGGAATTATATACCTGTAACACCATTAATTATACTGCTGGTGACCGTGGTTGGTGGGATCAAATTATACCAGTATTTATGTTGCTTCTTGGTTGATATTCCTACACGTTAGTTGTCGACCGTGTAAATCTGGGTGTTTTATTTTGTCTCGGGTAAGTGAACGTATGAGAGGGACACACACACACACACACACACACACACACACACACACACACACACCACTGAATGAACACTACTGGGGGAAAAATTAATGACTCGTATCCTCATTATCAACAAGTGCGTGCGTGAGTCAGGTAACACGATCTTTTCCTTAGTGGTACAGGGGTCATATATACAGCTTGTGTAACTGATGGCGAATTGTGATAGATGTTGGATTTCTGTCCCCCCCCCCCCAAAAAAAAATTATATATATCTATATATATATATATATATATATATATATATATATATATATATATATATATATATATATATATATATATATATATATATATATATTTCATCTAGATCCACAATGGAAACGTGGATAAGATAAATTTTGATAAAATCACACAGGAAAAAGGGAAACAATGGGGCACCTTAGCTTTCGTCGTTATTCAAGACATCTTCAGAGGCAACTTAATTACAAGGACTGAGAGAGGCTTATGTACACACCTTACAAAACACTAATCCATACACCACCACCACCGCAAAAACAAGAGGAGCTTATAAGAAAGGGCGAGGTAACTAGTCATGTTAAGTCAGGTAAAAAATATATAAGACCCACTAATCATCTATCCTACATCTACCTCAAATGTTTTCAAAGTATTTTTAACCTTGGACATTTGAAAAATAAATTTGTGTACCATATAAGTTTTGTACTGACCAACATTAAGGTTTATGGAATTAATTTCTCTAATCAAACTTGATTCAACCATAAATCTTTCTGTGACACACGATGATTTATACACTTCGTAACTGTTTTCCCAATCAATGGGATGATTATTGTTCCTTTTATGAACGAACAGTGCACTGGTTTCAGATACGGTTCTAATATTGTACCTGTGCTGTTTAATTCTGAGTTGCAATGCTTTCCCAGTCTGACCCAGTTGCTACCTGACCCAGCTGAGTTGCTACCTGACCCAGCTTGGAGAAGGTCGTGCCCGCAAGTGCTCCCGTTAGAGACCAAGGAAAATGGCCGCCTTGGATCGTTGTGTCTTGGGGGAAGAAGAGGGGAGTGTGGGGAAAGACGACCTCTTTGCCACTCTGTTAAGGCAGCTGGGGCAGTTGAGGAGTGAGGTTGACACTCTAATGGGGGAAATTGAAGCCCTCAGGACGGAACTCCTTCAGGTAGGTGTCCTGCCTAGCAGGACACCTGCGAAGGAGGAGCAGGCGTGGAGAGTGGTTGTCTCCAACGGGACTAGGGTCAGGCTCAGGAAAGCTGACCAGGGTGTGGAGTGTAGTAACCCTTACCAGGTGCTGCAGGAAGCAGGCGAGGAAGAGAAGAGGCAGGACGGTATGGATCAAGGAGAGTAAAGGGCAGTTGTACAAACCCTGCCCACAGGTAAGGTCGTGGTAGTTGGGGACAGCCAGGTGAGGTTTGTAGATAGGGCTTTTTGTGCGAGAGATAGGAAACGTAGGACTAGGGTGTGTTTTCCTGGGGCTGGGATAGGGCATGTAGCTGGGAGGTTAGACAGGGTTTTCTCAGGGGAGGGTACCAATCCAGTAGTGTGCCTTAGTGTGGGAGGAAACGACATAGGTAAGGTTAGGAGTGAGGAACTTTTCAAGAGGTATAGGGAGGCGCTGGGGAAGATTAGAGATAGGGGAGGGATCCCGATAGTATGTGGTGTCTTGCCTAGAAGAGGGGTTGGTCGTGGATGGCTGTCCAGGGCAATTGCTATTAATTGCCGACTGGAAAAACATTGTGCAAACAATGGTTGGGCATTCATTGATGACTGGCAACGATTTTATGGCAACGACTACCTGTACTGTCGCGACGGAGTACACTTGTCTCGTGAGGGGGTAAAGACGTTGTCTGCATCCCTGGAGCGTGAAATTGTCACTCAGAAGGGGGGGTTTCGCCAGTAGAGAGGGGTCGGGGAAAATGGGAGTCAAAAAACAAGCAGGTCCTGGGAAGTAGTGAAACAGAAGTAGATAATGCTGAAAATATAGTTAGTCATAATAACAAACATCAAAGTAATAAATGTAAAACAAATAGAAACGGAAGAAATATATTGAGTGTTTATTATACTAATAGTAGAAGCCTGTGTAACAAGATGGACCAGCTCAGGGCCATTGTTAGTAAAGAGAACATAGATATAATTGCAATAACGGAAACATGGATAAATTCAAACAGCAAGCATTTTTTAGCAGAATTTCATATTCCAGGATATAACCTATTTAAATTTGACAAGGTAGGAAGGAGAGGTGGCGGTGTAGCAGTGTATATCAGGGTGTCATTAAAAAGCGGCAATAAATCAAACATTAAAACAAATAGCGACAATGAAAGTATTTGGGTAGAGATTGGTGAGGGCAGT